AGAGGACAAGTGGGCCAGGAAACCTGCAGGGCTGGAACCTTAAGCAGGACCTCTCCTTGAGTGGCTGAATACTTTCTTTTCTTATTAGTCATTGATTTTCAAAAAGAAAACAAGGACTCCCCAGGAGTGTCCCCTGCCACCTTGAGATGACTCTGGCTCACAATTGCACCACTTCCACAAGGGATAGGGAAGAGTCTGCTTAGGTGCTGTTGGAGAAGCAAAGCTCCCCAGATCAGTTTCGGATGTGGGCCTTCAACTCTTGTGTGGCGTGCACGTCCCAGCCTCTGACAAAGGAAAGCAAACTGAGAGGGGGGCAAGCTGAGAGATGAAAAATTCCATTTCAAACTAAAAAGCTTTGACTGTGAGGGTGCTCAGACCCTGGGAAAGGGTTGCCCAGAGCAGTTGCGTAGTCTCCATCCCCTGGAGATATTCAAAAGCCGACTGAACGCAGCCGTGAGCAGCCTGCCTCAGTTGACCCTGCTTTGAGCACAAGGATTGGACTAGACACTCTCCAGAGGTTCCTACGTGTAAAGGGAGTTTCTCGTATTTCAACAGATGCCTATTGCCCCTTGTCCTGTCACAGGCACCACTGAGAACAGTCTGGCTCCCCCTTCTTCACTCCCCCCCATCCCCCAGCAGCCATTTATATGCACTGATAAGTTTTCCCCTTCCCCCTGTCCCCCTCAGCCTTCTCTTCTGCAGGCTGAACCATCCCAGCTCACTCATCTCTCCCCATATGACAGCTTCTCCAAGCCCTTAGTCGTCTTTGTGACTGGACTCACTCCAGTATGTCCAAGCCTTTCTTGTACTGGGGATCCAGCACTGGTCCCAACACTCCAGCTGTGGCCTCACCAGTGCTGAGCAGAGGCGAAGCATCATCTCCCTCAACCTGCTGGCAGCACTTTTCCTGATGCAGCTCAGGATGCTGGTGGCCTCCTTTGCTGCAAGGACACATGGCTGGCTCATGGTCAATTTGGTGTCCACCAGGACCCCTAGGTCTTATTCTGCAAAGCAGCTTTCCAGCCAGTTGGCCCCCTGGCAGTGCTGCTCCATGGCAGTGCTGCTCCATGGGCTCTCTCCTCCTGCAGGTGCAGGTCTTGGCACCTCCCTTTGTGGCTCTTCATGAGGTTCCTCTCTAACCTTTTCTCCAGCCTGCTGAGGTCCCTCTGAGCAGTGGCACAGCCATCTGGTGTGTCAGCTGCTTCTCCCAGTTCTGTGTCTACAAACCTGTTGACGGTGCACTCTGTCCTCTCACGTGGGACCTTAGTGAAGATGTTAAGGCATGTTGGACCCAGGATCTGTCAAGGAGCAGTGAGGGCTGGCTGCTGCCTCAGGCACAGCGAGCTGGGCACCATGCCAGGACCAGCAAGGCAGGGGCCTCACCAGCCAGGGTAAAGTCCTGCAGTACCTCAGAGAGGCAAGCAAAGCAGCCCTGCAGATGGTAGCCATGTTCAAGCAAGAGTCCAGATCACCAGGCAAGTTCCTGGTGATGAGGCAGGCCCAAGGGCAAGCAGGGAAGTCAGTCCCTGAGGCATGCTCTGGACCAACAGGGAGCACAGCTGTAGCTGAGCTGGAGACTACGAATGCCCCACCAGAGCTGAGGCCAGGACTGGAGGCCCAGGCCAGACTGACATGGAACCCCTGGGCTTCTGGGCAGAGGGTGCATGTGCAGGCCCCAGGTGAGGCTATGGAGAGCCTGTAAGGCCTATTAGTGCCCTCAAGGCCCTCAGAGCACTCACCCCTGGGGCAGTCCCAGCTTCAGGACCTCCTTCCACCGCTGTAGCTCCAGGCGAGCCCTCAAAGCAGTTCTCCTCCCCTGTGACCTGCAGAGCTGGGCCGTAGCCTCTTCATGCTGCCTGCCCCATTGTGTCAAAGTTCAAATGAAATTATGTCCCTGAGTTGCATTGCACTGGAACTTGAATGGCTTATTGTGAGGTCAGTTCTGCCTCTAGGTCTTCTGGACCAGCAACAGGCACATTACAGCTGCCTGTCGCGTGAGGGCACTTCTTTCTCATTACCTCATAGGCCAGTATGAAGGAGATGGCTTCAACGCTCATTGCGAGACCACTTTTGCCTCCTGACCTTAGGGGCAAGCAGCAGGCACGTTGATGCTGCTTCAGCATGGTAGGTCACTTCTGTCGCAGGACCTAATAGGCCAGAGGCAGGCACCTGGCATCAGCACTGACTGTGAGGCCATTTCTGCCTCATGATCTGATAGGCCAGAGGCAGTCACAAGGCTTTGATGTTCAGTATGAGGTCACTTCTTCCTCAGGACCTGATAGGTGCTGAGGATGGGTACCTACTAACATGGCTGAAACTGTTGTGGGTGTTTACTGCAGGAAAAGGAAGAAGAAGTAGATGAGGCCTTCTACACGCAGCTGGAAGTAGCCTCACATTTGCAGGCCGTGGTCCTCATGGGGGACTTTATCTGCCCTGATATCTGCTGCAGGGACAACACAGCAGGGCCCAAGCAATCCAGAAGGGTCCTAGAGAGCATCGATGGCAACTTCCTGAGACAGGTGATAGAGGAGCCAGCAAGGAGAGGTGCTCTGCTGGACCTCATCCTTAAAAACAAGGGAAGGCTGCTTGAGGATGTGAAGGCTGGGGACAACCTTGGCTGCAGTGGCCAAAAGAGGGTAGAGTTCAGGATGCTGAGAGGACGGAGCAGGGCAAAAAGCAGGATCACAACCCTGTACTGCAGGAGAGCAGACTTTGGCCTCTAAAGGGACCTGCTTGGAAGAATCCCATGGCATAGGGTCCTAGAAGGAAAAGGGGTCCAAGAAAGCTGGTTCAGAGACAAGGAGCTCCTCCTCCAGGTTCAAGGATGATCCATCCCAATGAGCAAGAAGCCAAGCAAAGAGGGCAGCAGACCTGCCTGGAGGAACAGGGATCTCCTGGTCAAACTCAAATAGAAGAAGGAAGTGTACCAAAGGTAGAAGCAGGGACAGCTCACCTGAGAGGAATATAGGGAGTTTGTCCGAGTGTGCAGGGATGGGGCTTGGAAGCACAAGGCCCATCTGGAGTTCCATGCGGATGTCCAGGACAAGAAGCAGGGCTTTGATAAATACATCACAGACTAGGGGAAGCGTAGACCCACTGCTGAATGGGGCAGAGGCCCGGGTGACAAAACATACAGAAAAGGTAGAGATGCTGAATGCTGTCTTTGCCTCAGTCTTTACTGCTAAGACCGGCCCTCAGGAATCCCAGGCCCTGGAGACAAGGGAGAAAGTCTGGAGAAAGGAAGACTCTCCCTTGGCAGAGGAAGATCAGGTTAGGGATCACTTATGCAAACTGGACGTACACAAGTCCATGGGCCCTGATGGGATGCACCCACCAGGGCTGAAGGAGTTGGTTGATGTCATTGCAAGGCCACTCTCAATCGTCTCCAAAAGATCATGGTAATCAGGAGAGGTGCCTGAGGACTGGAAGAAAGCAAATGTCCCTCCAGTCTTCAAAAAGGGCAAGAAGGAGGACGCAGGGAAGCACAGGCTAGTCAGCCGCACCTTGACCCCTGCAAAGGCGATAGATCCAGCTCATCCTGGATACCATTTCCCAGGTGATCAGGAGCAGTCAGCATGGCTTCACCAAGGGAAAATCATGCCTCACTGACCTGAGAGCCGCCTTTGATGGAATGACAGCTGAGGAGATGAGGGGAGAGCAGTGGATGTTGTCTCCCTCTATGGAAAATTTGCTGCGCGTAGCCAGTGGAATTTCCTTCATTAGCCATTCGAGAGCTAGTTGAGTGATAACCAAACACAAAAAGTCAAATTTCTTCCTTTGTGTGCACCCCTTTTCATTTTTATTTCCTTTGGAGGGTTCTGAATCTCTCTAGCTGTTTGCACTGTCCAGTTCCACGTACTGTTTTTTCCCACGGATGTATCAGCCTAAGCCTGCTGTAAAACTAACATCCCCTCTGTTCTCTTTAATTCTCTTCATGCTACAGACACGTAATGTTTTTAACGCTCTCTTAACGCTTGGCACGTTGCTCTCTGATCTGTTTTGTGCCCCCTACTTCAGGCCTGATGCAGTGGAAGAGCCTGTAGGTTAGCTGAAAGTTTTCTGAGTGCTCAACTGGGAGCATTAGGCACTACAGCTTGCTGCCGCTTCCGTGCGCCTCTGGATTTGGCTGCAAAAGCACTGTCGAGTTATAGGAGTGCCAAGACAATTATAGCAACCAAGCTTTTGGTTACTGAGTAGCTGATCGTGCCAGAGCTGTAACCCTGGTGAAGGACAGAGCGGTGGGATATGTGTCTCAGGGACGCAGGTAACTTTACCTTTTTTCAGCAAGCTCACTGCTGTTATTGAACATCTGCATTTGTCATCCCACAGCAGCAGACATGCACACTGGTGGGCAGTGGTCCAAAGCTGCTGGATCAGAGGAAGTCCCAATGGCAGATAAAGAAGAATGGCTATCCTGAGGGGAAGAAAGACCACAATTTTCTTCTACCTACTAATTCTCTGTCCCTACTAGGCAGGAGCAGTCACATGGCTTAAATGCTGATTGTGAAGTGACTTTGCCTCATCGCTTCATAGGCCAGCAGCAGGAGAAGGATGTCAGTGCTGATTGTGAGGTTATTCCAGCCTCGCTGCCTTTTAGACCAGTAGAAGGAACGTTCCTGCTGCTTCTATTAGTGAGGTCACTTGTGCCTCAATACCTGATGGGCCATCAATGGGCACATGGCTGCTGCTAGTGCTTAGGAGGGAGTGAGCCTCCTGGGGAGGTAGTAGGAGCTTTGCCAAGCTCAGTGCAGGACAGGAGAGCAGTGAGTGTTGTTGAACTGACTCCAGGAAGGCTCCACACTGTCTCCCGTAATATCTTCATAGACACGCTGGCAAAGTACGGGCTGGATAAGTGGCCAGGGAGGTGGACTGAACCCTGACTGAGCTGGAAAGGAGCTTTGCAGAGAAGGATCTGGGTGTCCTGGTGCCACCAAGTTGACCATGAGCCAACAGTGTGCCCTGGTGGCAAAGAAGGCCAGTGGTATCCTGGGCTGCATCAGGAAGAGTGTTGCCAGCAGGTTGAGGGAGGGGATCCTTCCCCTCTGCTCAGTGCTGGTGAGGTCACACCTAGAGGGCTTGGTCTGCCAGTACAAGAGAGACGGGACCTACTGGCGCAAGTCAAGCCACAAAGATGATTAAATTAAGGGCCTGGAGCATCTCCCATAGGAGGAGAGGCTGAGAGAGCTGAGACTGTTCAGCCTGGAGAGGAGAAGGCTCAGGGGGATCTTATCCATAGGCATAAATACCTGATGGAGACAGAGGCTAAAGAAGACGAAGCAAGACTCTCCTCAGTGACACCCAATGACAGGACAAGAGGCAACGGGGACATACGGAAATACAAGAAATTCCATCCAAACATAAGAAAAGCTTTTTTACTGCAAGGGTGATGGAACACTGGACCAGGTTGCCCAGCAGGGTTGTGTAGTCTCCATCCTTGGCAATATTCAAAACCTGACTGGACACAGTCCTGGGCAACCTGCTCTAGGTGACCCTGCTATGAGAAAGGGGGTGAGGGTAGATGATCTCCAGAGGGGCTTTCCAACCTCCACAACACATTGATTCTGTGATTCAGGGATGCTGCGATTTGTCAAGTCACTTGTGAGCTGCCCGGAGTGACTTTGCTCCTCTGTGGAAGGACTGTTCTGCATTGCAGAGCAGTCATTGCTTCCAGAAATTACTTCTCAAGGTCTTCAATGAGGTATGGGTGCTTCTTCTTCAGGGCTTCGTAGACGCGGTCCTTGCACTGGGACGTCCAGCTCGGCATCAGCCTGAACAGCTCACGCATCCTACTGTGGGACGTTTTCTCCGCCAAAATTCTTTGGTATTGCTCAAAGTCCAGAACGTCCTCAAGCAGGAGATCCAGGACACCTTTCACTTCAACAACACGCTCAATCAGCTCCACTCGGTGCCGATCGACAAAATGTTTCTCTGGGGAGGCCGGAAGCTAAAGGTTAGTTGTATACAAACACGCTGGCACTATCTCAGCTGCTGCACAGGTCACGGAGCAGCAGCCACTTCCAAGTGGGGTTTGTCTAAGCTAGCATGACCCAAGGAGGAGATGAACGGCACCATAGAATGCCCGTTTCTCTCTATTGTTAGCAGATAATGGCACCGCCTAGCCCAAAGCAGAAGCCCACGTGAAGGTCTAATTCGAGCTGGGGCTGTGCCAGGGTCAGTGCTGTGTTTTAGGGCAGGCGTTTGAGCCCCAGCCCCTGGTTTTGAGGCGTTTCACCCCCAAAGGTCTCACCTGTCGCTCCTAACACTTGAGCAGATGCCCCTGGGATTGGTCCTCTGTTCCCCAAGCCTGCGAGAGAGCAAGACAGAGCAGATGTGAGAGAGCAAGCAATGGGAGGGCCCAATGCTGATGAGGGAACTCAAACCTCACATGGTCGATGGGGCGCTGGAGAAGGCAGGGTTGGGGCAGACACACTTCCACAGGAGGCTCCTTCCCACAGGAGCACTGGGACACCCAGGCCACCTCCCAGCCTTTCCCTCCTACCTGGCCTGCTGCGCTGCAATCCAGGGATCCAGTGACTCGCACATGGCCCATCTGCGCCTGCCCCGCTGTGCATAATGTCTCCTGGAAAGAGGACAGCAACCAAGGTTGGGTTTTTCCACCACAGGGCTGCTCTCATTCCCGGCAAGCTAGTGCCATCAAGTGACAGTACAGCTAATTACAGCCCTATCAGGGATCAGCACAACTTGGTGTGAATCAGGCCTGAAAGAGGCTGGAGCTACAGATGATGTCCGATGAGCACTTCTGACAGGGAGATGAGATTCCATCACCTGGTTCAACACATGGGTATTGCTGGGAACTAACTGCACTAGAGTTTTTACCTAATTTCTGACACCGTCATAGCAAATATGTGCAATCAAGCTTGTCACCCTTGGTTTCTTCTGTAGCCAGCAGAAAAAGAGACTTTTGAGGGGTTGTACTTCTGCATGAAAACACTTGTGCACTAGCCTTCCCTGCTTGGGAGCTCTCACAGCATCGCCATGCTGGAGGTGAAAGGATGAGAGACACTTACCTTGCCTCAGCACCGTGTGCCACACGGACCTGGCCTTTCTTCTGTCTTTCAAACTGAGTTTGACTTTCTCTGCCATGACACCAACATAGATTTCACTGAAGATTTGCTGCTCATCTGCGCCTCTGAGATGGAAGTCCAGGGTCTGGTGGAAAGACAGGAATTGCTCTCAGCAGCTGCCCTTTCATAGCCAGCACAGCAGAAGAAACCAACCCCATGACTGTCCATCCATCGTCAAGCTCATCCATGCAATGGAGGAGCAGAAGAAACCAATCTCATGACCATTTTCCCTGGTCAAGCTCATCCACTCAACGGAGGAGTAGAAAAAACCTTGTCTTAGTGTATGTCCCCAAAATTTGGACATTTCATGTAAATGAACAGCTTAGGCTCCAGGTGGCAATTCCTGCCCCAACCTTAGACACTGATATTGGGATGGGAAAAAATGCATTTTGAAGGAATTAAATATTTGTCCTTGGTTGTAGAGCAGCCTGAGATGGCTCTTTCACCTGAGACTGCTGCATTTTTAGCAACAGAAGTTAGAGAAGAAAAATCGCGCTCTATAAACCTAAAGGGATCATAGAAAGGAATTGGAAACGCAGGCCATTATTTCTAGAGAAAACACTTCCTATCAAGGATGTTTACATAGGAGTTAAGGCTTGCGAACAGTGCAATAACTGTTGCTCTGCTGTGTAATTTGGTTTATTCCCTGTGCAAAATGCTCAAGTCTACCAGAAGTACCACCTCCTTTTCCTCTTTCCCAAATCCCAGTTACCTTGGGTTGTATGGCTACAGTCGGTGAGCCAGAAACAACATAGGACCTCCCACAGTTGAGATGTTTGGTCAGAGGCGGTTTATCCACCCGGTAGGACACGGACATCTCTTTCGCTTCAATCGCCTGCAGAAAGTCAAACGCAGTCAGTGCCGGGAGAGAAAGATGAGAAAAAACAGACAAATATGCAGATTCAGACTCATTGGACATCGCCCAGCCTTGAAGGAGTGGTGCTGGGATCTCACCTGCTTTATGGAGTGGTCATCAGGGATCAGATAGAGATGGAGGGTGACAGGTTCCTTCCTGGTGGCATGATAGATCAGCACGAGGGAGTGGAGAGGCAAATGGAGAACTGAAGTTATCTTCCTCCAAATCACCCCCAGAAAGGAGAAGCTGGGATCTTCCAGTACCGCGTGGAACGGCTGCACCTCCACTGGTATCTCCAGGACCAGCTTTCCACCAACAAAGTGGCCAATTCGCATCTCGGAAGTGTCGTCTTGTCCTGCTAGGAAGAAGCGAGGAAACAAGGTCTCCCTTCGCTGTCCCGCTAGAGGCTCCCACCGAGGGTTTAAACCGTGAGCCCGGAAGGGGGACTCCTAGACCTCGGCTTTGGAGGAGGAGGACAGAGAAGGAGGTGCGGGGACACAGCAAAGCCAGGGCACAGCTCGTCGGCCACGGCCACAGCTCGGCTGCTCTACCTCTAAGGCACACGAAGTGCGGCAGGTAGACGGCGCCCACGGCATCAGCCGGCTCTGCCTGGATGTTGAACAAGGGGCCAACAAACATCCATTTTTCAGCATCAGCTCCCCGCAGGTGTTGCCGCCAGGAGCCATATTCATATTTCAGACTGACTGCTGCCTTCACGTTGAAACACAGATCGGTTTCAGAGCACCGGAACGAGCCAGCACCGGGGAAAGAAACTCTGTGCGGCATAGAGAAGAGCTGGATCAGGGAGAGCTCAGGAGAACTAGCTTGAACCGACAATGTAGTTGATGTCCTGCATGAGCAGTGCCTAAAACCTGCCTCCTAGAGGTGCTGAGTGCTCTCAGGAACAGTAGCCAGCTGAGTTCAAGTAGGCTGTTCCTACCTCGATCCCACCACGCATTTGGCCGCTTTCCCCAAGACACACTGAATTTGGAGCCGCTAGCACTCACCTGTAGGCTCTCTTCTTGCCGTTCTCATGCCAAATGATCTCTGGCACGGTCACTTCTGGAAGATTCTGGAGACAGGAACGAGCATTAGTTTGGCACCCACCAAAAATGTCCCCTGAGCTCTGTGAGCTGCTGTGGGAGAAGGGCTTAGGACTGTTTTGGAGCGAGGAGGTAAAGCCCAGCCTTACGGTTTGCATCCTTGAAGGAGTATTGCATGCACAACAGCGATACCCAAAATCGGGGCAAGTGACAGGGAGGAAAGGCAGAGAGGATGGAGAGAATATGTCACACCATTCTCCATCCCCAGCTCAGTAAAAAGGCAGGAAAAAATTTAAAACCCATTAACCGTATCTCAGGCCCATCCCGACAGGTCCCAAGGGATCCAACATTGATGCATGTCTCTCCCACCATGTGAGCCAGGGCTGCCCAGGCGGCCAGACACGGCAAGCCACTGCTGCGGGCGTCTGACCCTGGGCGAGGTGACTCTTGGAGAGACAGAGAGGGACAATGGGGCAAAACCAGCAGAGCCGCGGAGACACACAGCTCCCACCTTGTCCCTCCGACAGTGGCTGCAACCATCTTTCTCCCTGCATTGGGCCAACAGGGAAACATCTGTTGTGGAAATAACAACAACAAAACGCAAGATGAGTCTTGAGGTTCTTTGCACTGTTGCAAGCTGATGGTCATCGCGTGTGAGAGCGGCTGCGCTCTCGCTCACGGCATGCAATGCTACAGCAACTGCACCGGGACCTCATTTGACCCCGTTTCAACCAAGATTGAACCCGGACCATCCTCTTCCACCTAGCTGAAGGTTGGATGATTTGTGTCCTGCCGTACAGGCGAGAGGTTGGTCCCACCAGGGCTGAGCCTCTGCGAAAGGCAGCTTCCCGTTTCAGCAAAATTAAGCGGGCCGGAAACAGGGTACAGCGCGAAGTGCAAAAAATGCCCACAGAATCCTTCTGGAGATGGGGGACGAGCTCAGCGCCACTCACCAGAATCAGATGAGTCGTCTTCGCCCGAGGAGCTGGACGAAAAGCCAAACCTGGACATTACTGAAGATATGAAAGAATAGGTTAAAAAAAAAAAAAAAAAAGACGACGGGGGAGGTAAACTCTTAAAAACACGGAGCCTCGGCGGCGGTCGGAAACATGACCTTTTCATTCACCTGCGAGTGCAGCATCTTGCTGTAACTGGGACAAAACTTGAGGTCGTCCAAGGGTTTGTGGAGGATCAAGAGAAGAAAAAGTTCTCAAAATGCAGAGCCCATATCAGCTTTCTGCTAAACTCATCGCCTGCTGGTACAGCTCTGGGCAGGAGCCAGGCTGCCCCGTTCTCCATCGCAAGCAGGGAGCGACCTTGTGCCATCACAGAGGGGCTCAGGACCCGACTGGATCAAGCCTTGGTTTGAGGCCTACTTCAAGAGTTTGGACCAGAGACCTCAGGTGGTCGCAGCCAACCTGGATTGTCTCCACATTCCTATAATCCTACTGCTGAAATCGCCACAAAATCCCATCCCTGAGAGAATAAACATGTGGCTGACCTTCCGCTTCTCTCTCTGCCACTAGAGGAAAACCACATTCGTTGCTTCTGCTCATTTCTGGAAGGAAACACAGAGGGAAAATCAGTGGGAAACCTGCCACAGCGCCATGACGCAGGGAAGGGAGCCCAACCCTTCCGACGGACACTGCTAACCCCCTCCAACCTCAGCCCCAGGTACAGGACGCAAGGAAAGAGGGCCAGAAGGTTTCACACACCCATTTCTGCACCGTTTTCGGCTTGGGAAGTCCTTGCTCCTTCTCAGAGTGACCTAGGTTAAACCTGCGAGGAGCTGGAGGAGCTGAATCCTATCAGGGGCCGGAGAAGGTAAATCCTACCTAGAGAGTTAGAGAAGGTAAATGTCACCTGGCAACTCAAACGTGAATCCCACCAGGATTAGAGAAGGCAAATCCCACCTGGAGAATTGAAGAAAAAGAGAAAAGTTACCTGGAAAATCAATTATGAATCCCACCGAAAGAGCTGAAAAAGCCAAAACCTACCTGGAGAGTTGGAGAAAAAGGTAAATCTCACCTGGAAAGACAGACAAGGTTGGATGAAATCAATCCTACCCCAAAACTTGCAGGAAGCCAATCCCACCCCAAAGGTTGGATGACATCAATCCCACCCTGAAGGCGGCGGGTACGGTGAATCCCACCAGGAACGCTGGAAGAGGTGAATCCTCCGCCAGAAAGTTAGAGAAGGTCAATCCCAAACAGGAAATCGGACAAGGGCAATCCAGCGGGGAAAATCAAAGCACGTCAGTCCCGACAGGAGAGCGGCAGGAGCCGAAACCCACCCAGAAGGCTGGGGAAGGTCAATCGCACCCCGAAAGCGGGACAAGGTCAGGCCCACCTGGACGGGTGGAGAAGGCTGACGGCAGCTCGGAAGCTGGATGAGGCCAATCCCGCCCGGCATGGCAGAAGTCGT